GATAAATGATGTCACCTTGGGAAAGGCAGAGAGGGAGGGATAAGATGGGGACAGAGATATAGGAATAATACAGATGCAGATGTTCTTGTTCTCACCATTGCTGCTATTCTTGACTTACCAAATGCTAAAATCAGATCTAGCCAATCTTCCTTAAGCATGATTTGCAATAATTGAAGAAAGTCTCCAAGAATCCTAATGTAAAGACCAAAATACCCATCAGCTTTAGCAATAATAGTGTATATTTTACTGAACTGGGCTTAATTAGTTCTTATTCTAATTCTAGTCCAAAATCTAAAAGTCTAACAGAATGAACAAAGGGGTTTTTCTAGGAACTCCTGAGTTTTAATTTGTTTTGAATAGTTGCCTTTGGGCTGTTTGTTGGTTTGTTTTGGTAATGCTAGTTTTAAGAAATGTACCGTATCTATGAGGTTGTAAAGCTGCATTACCTTTGAATGTGAAATGTATATTGAAAGCAGTTTCAGTTGGTATGGAGACACTATGGTATAGATACATCTACTTCTGCCTGTGTAGCTTGAGTTTCCTTGGCTGTGTTTTAACACCCATTGCTATCTCAAAGGGCTTGGGATGCATATGTAATGTTTGTATTGATACTTTGATATTCAGCATGTATTCTGTGAGCACTGTAAGAAAGTGCTCTGTAGAGTATAGTGTAATCAAGGAAATTTTCCCTGTCTCATTCTAGGAGACAGAGAAAATCAAGAGAATATTGAAAGAGGGCTCCTGCCTGCTGATTGGGAATTAGGATGAGATTTTGTACAGATGACAATTAAATTGAGTCTTGAAAGAAGAATGTGGTGGTGTTACAGTTATGTGTGTGGCAGAAGTGAAGATCTATATGGACACTCTGGAGTGAGGAAGCTAGGGTTTCAGCAGAAAGCATAGGATGAGTTAAAGACTGGTGAATCATGCTAGTAAACACATTTAGCATGATTTGGGTTTTAGTGTACAGAATTATTGTGATTATTTTTATGTTTTGAGAACTAGCATTAATATGAGATGTGTTGTAAGAACACCATGCTTTGATAGTGGGTAGGGAAAGGGAGAATTTGCAACAAGGAAGACTGAGGCAATAACCTTGGCAAAAGGAGATAGATTACAAAAAAAAAAAATACAGCCGCAACAAGGATATATACATTTCCATGCATTAACTAGTAAGTGATATATAAAAAAAGAATTTAAAAATGATTATGAGGCTGCAATCCATACAGTTGGGACAATAATGGTATCATTTTCAAGCATAATAAAAAGAATCAGGTTATAAGGAAAATCATGATTTTAAACATATTGAGTTCAAATTTTATATGGCAGGAAGGACAGCCAGCTAGAAATGTCATTTTGAGAGAGTTGGAAGCATATTTGTATATGTGGGAATCAGCTGTGTGGAAGTGAGAGCTGGAATCCTGAGAGTGAGGAGAGAAGGAGAACCATGCAGAGAAATACCTAAATGTGTGGCTGTGGCCATGGACGAGGGAGATGGCACAAGACAGAGGCCAGAGACAAGCGTAGAGCAGAAGGAAGTGAAACGACAGCTTCTCATAGCTACTAAATTTTAGGAAATTTTACAGTGAGATACTTAGGTTATCTGAATGAGATATCACTGAATATCATTGCTATTGACAGGAAGGAGAATTCAGTGACCTTATTTTTAACAGTAATCTGCTATATTACTATATTAAAATTATATTTGAAAGTTCATTTCTACTTTTTTTTTTTAAAGAGAGTATGCCTCTCTCTGTCATCCTGGCTGTAGTGGAGTGCACTATGTATAGTTGAATTCTTGAACTCACAGAGATCCACCCGCCTCTGCCTCCCTCCAGCCTCCGAGTGCCGGGATTGAAGGTGTGCACCATCACCCATGGCTCTTCATTGTCTACATTTGATGGATAGATCTTGGTATCTTACTTTCTTTGGAAAACATAAATTAGTCATTTATAGCTTGTTTCATCAGATAAATTGCATGAACCTTGTTTCATACACAGAATACCAACATACAAATATTGTTCATTAGTTAAGCTTTGTTTAGAAAAAATGTAAAGTATTACTTCATTTTCTTAAATTCATGGCCTTTGAAATTAGGAGTCTCAATAACCAGAAGTAGGACTTACGTGCTGATGGCTCATGATTGATAGTGTGGTGCTGAAACTATGTGATGACAGGACAGGGCTGCGGTGTGTGGCCGTGCATGAGGACAGAACGATGCACGGTGGCACACAGGGCTGATGATGTAGGTGACATTTGGTCCTGATGGTGCAGGGTCACAGCATGGTAATTGTAGTTACTGCTTACTGGTCTACCATATCTTTTATTAAGTGTTTTGTTTCACTTAACAGTATTTACTGATTATTTACTGTGCATCAGGAATTAATCTGGAAACCCAAGATAGGTTAGAAAATAAGGCAAATTGAAAGTCTTAACAGAGTTCTTTTTAGTACAGGCAGACAAATAATAACTAGTAAGTATACTACATACCGACCACAAAGTTTAGGTATTGTGGGAAGATAGAACAAGGTAGGAGGAGTCAGGAGTGCTGTGTTGGAGTTGGATGATAGACCTGGGCTGTATTATTATGACAGTGCCAGGGAGAAGGTTGTATCGAAGGTTACTGTTTAAATGTCTTGGAGCACCAGGCAAACGGAACAATGTCTGCCAAGGTCGGAATGCAACTGAAGTAAGGAACCATCAAGGATGAGTATCACTGAAAGGGGTGAAGGGAAGAGTGGTAGGCAAGAGGGAGTGAGGAGGAGGTCTCAATGCTACAACTCTGTGTATCTATGTTTGCCTGTTTATACTTACCATTGAAGTTGCCGTTTACAGATGAGGAAACTAAAACACAGTCCAATAACCCACCTCAAGCCTAATACAGGAAATAACTGTCTCTTCCAGCTACATGTCAGCATTTTCAAAATGATTTGTTAATTTTATGGCCATCTGCAGAATATTAGATGATAGGGCAACAGCTTGATAATCCATTTAGTAGGTCTGCTAATTGTGTTTTTCTGCAAACTAACATGGTCATTTATGGGGCTTTGTAATTTTGCCAGTTTTCTCCATTGCTTATGACTTCTTTTTGTGGAAAGTGATTTTTTTTTTTAACACAGGCTTTTGGTCAGAACAAATCCAAATTTTATCTTAGCTTGTCTTGTTTTCTTATATTAGACATTTTTAGAGATAGGGATATATAGTCAGTAATTGTAATGGCATGTTTCAAATGAATTGTTAGAATTATAATTGCAGATTATCTACCTGACATATAACCTAGTCTCAGATGCTTCTATGCTTTAACAATTTTATACAAAAAATACTGTAATAGGTAATTATTTGAATGATAGGAAAATAAATAATAGAGAACTTAGAAAATGTGCCTAATTTATGGATTCCCAAGTTCATAGCACTCTAAATCAATCTGAATGAGTCTAAGTGACCAGAGGGGTTCGAAGGTCACTGTGGGTCATGCACTTTATTTTACATAATTAGGTTGAAAACTTAATGAGCTTTTTAAAGTAAATATCCTCTATCTGGAAATCAACTTTATGTACTTCTTTACATTAGGCCGAATTAGTCCAAATTTGTTTATTTATTACACTTTCATGTATGTGTGTGCATGTGTGAGTGTATGTGATGTAGAGGTAAGATAACTTGCACACGTGTGTTCTTTCCTCCTGCCTTGTAGATCCCAGGAATTGAACTCAGATCAGAAGACTTGGCAGCATGGGCCTTTTTGCACTGAGCTATTTCACCAGCCCTGAATATGTTGGTTTTTACAATTAGTGAACTGTTTAGAATTTGCTTTGTAGAGGTGATGGTTAAAGAACACAGCTTTGCAAGATTGTAAAAATATATATATCCTAATTTGATAATAGAAATAAGAAATTACATATTTGGTAAATCCTAGTTGATTTTTTTAATGGTTTTGGCACTGACCTGCTTTTGTCAAGTGGGGCATCATCGATCTGTCTTAAGTCAGCATTATTGTAGGAATGGATCATTGGTTAAACTTAAATGATGTCAGGACAAATGGCCGTTCTCGCATCTTACTCTACATGGCTGTTTTGTTTACCTAGCTAAAAATTTTATTAAAAGAATCAAAGTCCAAGAATATTAAGTAGCATTCTTATAGTTTTCAATTGTATAAGCCTTCACAATTATCATGAAACATTGTAGTTATTCAGTAAAAACAAATGGCATGATTTTGAGAGTAATAAAACTTAAAATTAAAATTTTACTATATAGTCTTAGTTCTATTACCATGGTTATCCAAATTAAATTAAATTTGGAGAAAGGGAAGCATGTGCCTAAGATGTAAACACACACAATGAACACTACTATTCAAAGATGGCTCTCAAAAATAATTAGGAGATATTTTGAGTATATCCAAACTATATACTATTGTGGGTTATTGGCACCAAACTGTGCCCATTGCTAATAGTTAAAACTGTATTGTTGTTAAGTGTGTATAGGAAGAATGTTGGAATTTGACTATCATTGTGTTATGCTGTGTTTTACACTTACTGTGACTGATGTCTCCACCAGGTTATTTCTCAATACTTGAGAGCAACGCCACCGTTTTTGCTGCAGTCAGACACCAGTGCATTATTTTTATCCGGTCTTATTTGTTTATGATTGCATCTGGGAAACCTTCTTTAGTATATAAGTTACGCAGATATTTAGCCTTAAGTATTCAAATATTTTAACATGATGTTTCCATCAAGGACACTCATGACTTTTCTTCCCAAAAGCTTAAAGTGTTGCTTCTCTACTTGTCAGGCAGATGCCATGGGCAAAAAGAAGATAATAGCTTAAGATTATGTCTCCCTCTCAGAGGCAACCGTTGTCATGGATTGACAGTGTTGAAGGACCAAACTGACATCAAAGGTTTCATATGATTTAGCTAGGTCAATTAATGTTAATTTTTATCTTCCATTAGGTTCTTTTAGTGTCCCCTTCCCACTCTTTTTATTTCTTTCTTTTTTATATTCTAGCCAAGCCCGATACCAAGTCCTGTTCTGGGGCAAAAGCCAAATGCTAGTCAGTCGTTGCTTGCATGGTGCAAAGAAGTTACGAAAAACTACCGGGGCGTGAAAATCACTAACTTTACCACGTCATGGAGGAATGGTTTATCTTTTTGTGCAATCTTACACCACTTTAGACCAGACTTAATGTAAGTAGAAGTGTCATAAATATTTGTAAATAACTGACAATCTTAGAAGAACACAGAGTAATTTCTTAGCATGTATTCTAAAATACTTGACTGTCTTTGTTTTTGAACTATAAAACTTGCCTTTTTTTGAGAGAAGTATATGCCAGGATATCAATCTTTTTCTTAGTACCTAAGAGTAGGTTTTTTCCTTTTAAAAAATGATTTTTCTTTTTAATTTTATTAAAAACTGACTTTATTATAAAGTTTCTATTAGTGTTCAAATAAGAACCAAATAATCCTGTAGCCTTTGTATATTGATAATAAGGGATTATCTAATGGTAAATGTTGTTGTCAAAGATAGCCTCTTACTTACTTACCTTAACTTAACTTCTCTTTTAGATGGAAAGTTTCAGGCAATAAAGCATACAATCACCGTTTGTTTTTTTGCCTGTTTCCTTAATTTCTACATTATTAGTTTTGTTTATTGAACTGCTGTGAAATTATTAGTTGCCCTTTGATATTATTGAATACCAAATTATTAGATTCAGTTTATTTTACAAAAATTTATTTTTATCAAGTGTTATATATAACTACTATGCCATTTTTCTCCCCAGCGACTACAAGTCTCTGAATCCTCAAGATATTAAAGAAAACAACAAAAAGGTAAGAAATGCCAGGGGAAAGCAAAGTTTCAATTTTGGCTTCATTGCAAATTTTTATGAATTTGAGAAAAGCAATGGTGTTGCGTGAGGTCGTAACTGTAGTGTGCAAAGGTGGACTGCTCCATGCAGGTTAAATAGGGTGCTTAGTTTACTCTGGTGTGCATGGACTTTAAAGACCATAAATGTGCGGCAGACATCAGGGCGTACATGCTCATCATTAACTGTTTCTTAAGCCATATGGCTTTTACTGCAATGGTTAGCTTTTGAAGAATATACCCAAAACTTTCATGACTATTATGTAACTTTAAGCAGGAATCTATAGTGTAAACAAAAAAGATTACATAGGCTTGTGAATGTAAAGCATGATAAACTGCTTCTTTTTTTACTTTCTAGTAAAGATACTAGTTTCCATATATAATTATATACATCATCAGAACTTCCTAAACTGCATATGAGGATATTGATCCCGTCAGATTTTAGAGCAGCTACATGGGGAGGATTTGGCCTCGTGGGCCAGCTGACTGTGGCTGAGGCTGATGAACGTGTTTATCTTGTAGGTGGTATGCTGTACTTGATTTTCAATCTGCAAAGAGAGCAATATCAGGCTCTGCTTACAGTCCACACTCAGTGTTTGTTTGAATCGAGTTTCTCAACTGAAAAACTAGTGTTATCGTTGTTTTAGAATAGGCATTTTTAGCCTGTAGATTATATCTGTAAGTGTATCGGTAGATGGAATTCAGCAAGTTCTTGAACACAGTTGGAGGAAAACATATTCTGTATAATACATTGTATCATAATTCTATAACTAAATATTCATATTTTCTTTTGTTAAGAACCTTCATATTTTACTCCAATTATTGCAGATCTCTACAAATAATAGTTTAGAACTCCTTCAAATTATTAATTATTGACTGAATATGGTAGCACACTCCTTTATCCCAGTACTTGGGAGCTGGAGGCAGGAGGATTAGTTCAAGGGTCTTGGTCAGCCTGGGCTACATGAGATTATGTGTATATATGTGTCTATAGTCACACATACATTAATTAATATGTTCATTAAAAGATATTTTACTGTTTCCAAATTCAGTTTTATATTTTAATAGTTGTAATTTTAGTAAAACTGCCTCTTTCTAGTATTGTGCCCATTATAGCTATAAATATTACTCTCGGGAGAGAGTCCAATGACAAAGGGGCTCAGAGAACAAGGCAGTAAATAATCTGTGGTGGAGACAACAATTTTTAACATTGTCCAAATTATTAAATGGAACTCTCACTTTTTAAAGTCTTATAATCTTGGTAGAAATTTAATTAAGAATTTAAATCAAAGCAATTTTTTTCCTTGATGTGGGTTATATGTAGAGTTATAATACACTTACAGCGCTCTCTCCTCCCAACCCCCCTCTCTCTTCTGTATGCTACCTGAAAGGGGTAGTGTTTGAAAATTAGTAGCTATTCCTCATAGAGATTACCTTTTAGGAGCTAGGAATTTCACTGAGTGAAAGAACTTGAAGGTTCTGGGGTCAATCCCCAGCACTTTCTCACAGGCTTTCTACAAAGGAAGTGACTCTCGAGAATTACATCTTAACATAATTTTAGAAAGCCCATGTTTATTAAGTGAAATGCCTTTTCTCTCATTTATTAAACTATATCCATATAGGTGACATTTCTTAATCTTAATTTCCTTGCATTTGGCTAAAGTGATAAGCTAATAGAAATGCAGATATCAGCATTATAGAATGAACTGCTGATTGCCAGTCACTTGTATCACCCCTGTAAGGTAGGAAAATTCTCAAGCTCAGTGAGTTCTGGAACAGCCTAAACAAGGCCCAACCAGTTAAATGACGATTGCTCCTTAAGTAGAGCCTTCCTTTGTTATTCTCTGTGTATTTTAAAATGTAGAGAAAGAATCTCATTATGGTTTAAGTAGCATGGACTTAAACATATGGTTTTCTAATTACTGCATAGGGAAGAATAATCCATTTGGATGGTTTCTTGAAACTAGCAATACAGCTAAATAAGTGTTTAGTTAGCATGGTTTGACACTGGTTCAACCCCCAAATATCAAACAGATCTCCCATGGTAGATAATCTTGATTTTTAATGAGGGTTTTAACACTGATTCTTTTTGCACACTGTTCAGTACATGTCAATGTACATAGTTGCAGTGTTTCATCACATCATGTCTACATTGAGAACTTCAGTTGCAACCTATAGATTATTTCCTGTTTTCCAAGGCTTTCCCTGACAACCCTTTGTGCTCTCATATGCTCTTATATCCAGGAAACAAAATCTTCCTCTTATTTGTTCCACTTTTACTTGTAATATGATTGTTACTGACTCTTCCTTAATGAACTTAACATTTTGGAATCAATAAGATAATTTTCTTTGAAAAAAAATACTTGGCTGATGAGGTGACTCTGTACTAATGGTGCCTGCTGCCAAGCCCCTAGCAGCCTGAGTTCTGTCGCTGACACTCACATGGTGGATAAAGAGCAAACTCCCACAAGTTATCCTTAGATACCCACACACACAGCACCCACCGCAGCAGCAGCCATATATATGCACCCTATACACACACAAATAAATAGTATATATTTTATATACATATATGTATCTTTAAATAAACACTCTCCCTCTTTTTCATCTACAATCACAGCTGTGATTGACCATGGCAAAAGTTAACCTGTATAAATCTTTGATACAAATTTTACCTCATATTATAAGAAACCTGGTTTGTTTTAAAGCACAGTTAGTATGCATAAAATGAATGGCTAGTGAAGCAAAACACCAGCAGGACTTTGCTCACAAGAGAGCAAATCATTTTTTTTAGGTCTGTAAAAAAACTCAGCACTTACCTGTGGCGCCTGATCTTAACCCAGTGTGTCAGCATTTTAGATAATTAGGAAATGTTTAGATTACTGCCTGCAGTACATTTCCTGACAGTCTGCTATTGATGTCTGTCCGTCAAGTACTCAGGACACACAAGGAAGAAAATGACTTTAATTTTCCTAAAACATGTAAAGAACAAACAAGTCTATACATGCACACCAACTGAGCCACCTCTCTAGTAGATATTTTGAAGAACCTGTATTATAAAGCATCATTCTGTGGAAATTGAATAGGTCTTAATAGCACAATTTATTTTTCATTTTCTTTCTTCACATGGTAAAGCTACAGGAAGAATACCGATTAAATTCAAAGGCAGAAATTTACTACAAAAGCACAAAATTCCTTTGATTAAATAACTTCCTAACATTTCTTTTAAGACAAACATTAAATTGTGCTCCTAAATGCAAGTTGTTGTCAAGAATAGAAAATTTTAACATGTAAACACAATCAATAGTGTCTCTGTAGAGCCCTTCCTTCCTGACCGAGACTCTGAATGCTTCCTGCAACACAGTGCTGTTCAGGGGTTAGCTCAGGATAGTAATAATTAATTGTAAATTGAGAAACAGCTTTGATTCTTCAAAACTAGAAAAACCTGATGTGCCACAGTCGTTTAAAGGCTAACAAAATAATACAATGCAACCTCACAGTTTCAACTATGTTGCAGTATTCAAAACATTTCATTCTTTCCAGAACAGCAGAAGTAAAGATAAAGCCACTCTCCTCGTTGTAAAATTCAGCCTCAAGTCATGTTAAAAAATGTTTCTCTGCCTCTAAGATTAAATAATCTGTTTGCATTTTATAGCAAACAGTATAGTAGTTAGTTCGTTGGGCTTGCCCAGCAGTGCTTCTTCGCCGTAATTACATGACCGTGGAAAAGGGGCAGACAGGGATGATAAAAGCTGGAGATGTATTTGTCTAACATTTCTCCATACCCCAATCCTTTCCTTAAAATTTTCTCCTAAGATTTTTGTTTATGTAGTAAGGTTTTCTCTTTTCCCCTTTTTATTCATTTTTGTCTTGCAATTTTATTCTTTTCCTGTGGTATAGTGTTAGTAATTTTATGTGCTCTACAATAACAAAAAGCTTTAAAATTTTGCTCTTTAAAATAGATGACTAAGCTGTTTGGTATATTTGTTTGTCCCTTCTTCTCTTTGAAGGCTTACGATGGATTTGCCAGCATTGGAATTTCCCGTTTACTGGAACCTTCTGATATGGTTTTATTAGCAATCCCCGACAAATTGACTGTTATGACTTATCTCTATCAAATAAGGGCACATTTTAGCGGTCAAGAA